ATATATGTGACTCGACGAGTCTGGTCGCGAGTCACTGAACTGGTCCCTTTAAGATGTATCGAGTTGAGCCGTGAGTCACAGGGGGTGACTCGGTGAGTTGGAAGCTGAACTCACTCATGATAGGACTCGGCGAGTCAATGCCCTGACTCGGCGAGTCCAAGGCAATCTTCATAGATCAAGAACAAACTCGGCGAGTTGTTCATACAACTCGGCGAGTCTTAGCATATGTGTTCTTCGGATGAAGATGAACTCGACGAGTTGTTCATACAACTCGGCGAGTAGGATGAAGGAGTTGAATGACAGTTTAGAAGATGAACTCGTCGAGTCATAGCCCAACTCGACGAGTAGAATCAGGGACCCAGGACAATAGTTTGCTAGGGACTCGGCGAGTGGAGATCCACTCGGCGAGTTGGGTCAACTAAAAGTTGACTTCGATTTGACTTAGGGCTAGACCAGGGGTAAAATGGTCTTTTTACCCAAAGGACAGTTGGCAGTGTATGATTAAGTATATTGTGGGAATTACAGCCGGGGAGTTTCCGGAGCAGCAGCAGCAGTAGTAGGTGATCAATTCCCACACAGACCAGCAGCTATTTCGAGGTGAGTTTCCTTCCAGTAGTAACGGGTCTAAGGCACCAAGGCCGGCCCGTATAGATGAGACGTTAGTATTATAGTGTGGGCCGAGCCCGTATCTATTAGTTGAGTTGATTGTGTTATATACCAGCATGATAGAACTGTTTACACTTGTTGTCTGTGCGATGCTTGTATGATATGAGTTGGCGGTTGAGTGTGGGCGGGGCCCGTATCTCTCCGAGAATGGAGTGTGGGCTAGGCTCGTATCTCCCAGGTAGCGAAGTGTGGGCGGGGCCCGTATCTTCACGAGTGTGGGCGAGGCCCGTATCTCCTAATTGCATGTTATATGTTAAATGCTTGTATGGTATGGGGTATTATGGGGGAGCTCACTAAGCTTTGTGCTTACGGTTTCAGTTTTGGTTTCAGGTACCTCCTCAGCCAGGGGAAAGGAGCCGGCACGGTAGCAGCATGTTACACACACACTCTTCGGTTTCCGCATTTACGAGATTCACTGGGATTGTACTCTGATATTTGATGGGATGTATGTTTTGACTTTTAAAACATGGTTTGCGATGTGTTATGTTGTGATCAAACAATGTTTTTTATTTATTAATGTTTTCTAAAGTAATATTTAAAAATGAAATTTTTGGACATGAAAATTGGGTCGTTACAAAAAGATGCATATAAAATGCATCTAACAGTATACAAAACAAAGTGACTAAACTTGGACAAATACAAAAGTTCATTACCTTAATAAGTCATTTTCCCTAAATTATAATATTCCAAAATCACAAAATATGAAAAGAGGTATAATCAATCGTATATGAAATCAGAGTTAATATGAACAAGAGATGTAAATAAGATCTTGATGCAGCTCATATTATCCAAAGAAGTATAAGTACACTTGTGAGAGAGAAAAGCACAGTGCACAAGTTGCAAAAGTTACAAACAACTTAGGTACCTACACTATTTATAGTGTACTCAACAGATACAAAAAGTATATCGGAACTTCAACATTTATAGAGAAACAACATATGTTCCTAATAAAATACATATAGTATCGAAGTCATGAAGATGTTTGATAATGAAAAACACTTCGCTACTTAGACTACTACTTAAGACATTGATATATCATAACATATATGACTCTACAATCTCCCCCCTTTGTGATCATTATCGAATCTTCAAATTGTGGGTACATCTTTATCACTTGTAACAATACGCTTCTTATATCCATGTACCAAACTATAATCTCCGTTATGTCCACTCTGTCTTCATTTGAATTATTCTTGCACTTGTTTATACAGACAACACTGGAAAGATTCTAATTTGAGTATATTTCTTTATCGTCAGTATGGCAAAAGTATTTCTTTTTCCCTCATTTCATGTTCTTTCCTTGAAAGACAACACCTTAAGGTTGATTGATAATTTCACCATCTTCAAAATTATCGATATTCAATTTCCCTTTCCATAATCAATTGGGAGCGTGTGGTTTTTTCATGAAAGAATTAGCAAACTCAAAATCTATTAATGTTAGATGAGCAAAATAACAGTGGATGAAGCTTTTGGTGTGGCTATATCCAATGATGTGGGAAGATTTATCTTGAACTTCATCATTATTCAAATCTTACATAATCTTCATAACAATGATGAAATCATTCAATTTCATCAAGGGAAATTCAACAATGGCGAAGTCAAAAAGAACATTGTTGGCTCTAACAACTTTATATAGATAGTTTTGAATTACTCCTTCGAACATGACATCGGGAGTTATCGATAAAAGTTTAACAATCTTCACCAAGGACCAAACATATTTTTCTTTCTGTACAAGAAATGCATGGAATCTAATTTTCAAACTTTTATAATCCTTTGTATCATGGAAATTTTCTACAAGCTTGAAATGACCAAATGCGAACATTGAATGATTGAACGGAAAGTCTAATTGATTAAATATGTGTCTTCAATGGCATAATCTCTCTTTTGTATTTTCTCAAATGCATTAACTTTTTCATAATCAACATTCTCAATTGTTTCATAACATCACACCTTATTTGGATGTACTTTATCAAGATGTAACACAATGATTTTTTACCCAATTTTTTTTATTTTAATAACATTAATTATCATAAAGACGTTAGCGGAAGTGTTATAAAATCATCATCAATAGTTATTTAGAATGTCTTTCAAAAACAACTCATCAAGTTATATAGTTGTAAAAACCTAACCAAAATAAACACCAAAACCAAGTTTAAATGAAATACCACATCATGTCTCAAACTAGTATCAACACTAGTAACCAAAAGACTATAACTACCCAAAAGATCCCAACCTCACCAGGCCATCAATAATCAAGCTACTTGCAACAATGAAAATCTACAACAACATGCAAGAAACAAGTGTCAACATCAACATAGTGATTCAATCTCAAGCATATAATCATGGAAACAAATCATACACATACATCGTGTCAAGTCTTGTAATCACATCAATCCATGCATCACACATCGATCTATATTAACATATACATATATATATATATATATATATATATATTAATCCGAACATTCTTTCAACACCGTAATTATTTATTTATTTGCTTTCCTATAATTACTTTTAATGCCCGTCTCTAACTAGGAGTCTATGTCATAACTAACACTCCCCAAATAAAGATCATGTTTGCTACTAACATGACCTAGCGACCCAGTGCACCAAATGGGGTGCGACTCCTACCCTTAACACTATCCATGGTTCGACGATTTCACTACTGTGACTATACATGTACAAGACAATGTATTGTCATTTGAGAGTGTTTTATTAGAACATCAATTAAATACATACACAAAAGACATGATGCTTGATCCGACCTCTTTAATGGCCAACATTACTCAAGTCCCGATACAAGACTGTACCAGTACCATGTCTCGATATGGTCATCTAAAAACCCATTCGATGTCTATTTGACCTAAGCTCTTTTCCTCCATCGATAACCTTCCACTGTGATATCTCATAAGGGCACGTACCTTAGTTAGGTTTCTATCATTTAACCCCATTATGTGCATTCCCCTGTTATTTAAATAATTAGGTAATTAATTAACTTTCTCTCACATGGGTAAAACACACAACTCACCAATATTATTATGTAATCATGCAAGTGAATTATTTGTATTAATCCATTGTATACTACATCTATCAAACATACATCCAAGGCATATCAAACACAAGGCATACATAACAATATGTCATGGAATAATAAGATACACCTTTCAATCACACAACATCTAGCATGTATTTCCTAGTTTCATTCAAGAGTGGCAAAACAAAAATATAGCATGCATAACATCACAATAAAACCACACAGAAAGTCCTCACCTTTAGCATGGACCTAACACTTACATGTTGCACCAGTTAATTAGTTCTAGGAATCTACAATTCATTAATTACCTAGTTCATATGCATTATCAATAACAATATATGTCCAGGTTTTATTCTACCATTCACATTTAGTTTCTAACTTCACACAACATCAAAAGACATGAACACAACATAGGTGTATGTTATCCTTCCAAACTAAGAAATGGCTTACCTCTTGTCGAAGTTTTATCACTACTAGAAAACAGACCTTTAATGGCGTGATTTTTACGAAACGCGATAATTAACGATACGCAAAAGGACGTGCCCTTAAAATAGTGTTATCTCTCCAAAAAATTTAAGGATTTACGTCACGCTTTATTGCGTGCCCTTAACTTAGTGTCTCAAGAAAAAAAAATTAAAAACACGGAGGGTACTTTATCTTAAACGCACGTCGTCTGTACCTGTCGCTTTATAATTTTAATGAAACACACTAATTAGTAGACAAGGGGGAAACGAGATCCCCAAAATTTTGAAAACCCGCTTGTTTTTTCTATCTTCTATCTATCTTTCATCTTCGAAATCATAACCATTCAACCTAACAAGGATGAGCATTGCACTCTTGATTTCCCTAACTCTTTCTCATTCACAACCATTCAACCTAACAAGGACGAGCATTGCACTCTTGATTTCCCTAACTCTTTCTCATTTTCTGATTCAAACTTGAAAGAATCAAAAAAAATCTATCAATTTTGAGCCTAGAGAATCACAACAATGGACTTCATTACATCTTCATCTTATTCACATTACCACTTCGAATCTCCTACCCTAATTTTCCCTCAACAACAATTCTAGAAGCTTCGCAGACATGGCTTAAAAACCCAGATGGGGTGAATTGGAGGAAGAAGATGATGGCGGTGACTATGACTATTTGTTGTCGCCGAAACAGGTTATTGGACCCGACGAACACGGGTTGAAGAAGTTTATTGAGTACAAAATTCAACGACGAAGGTAATCAGGTTAAGATTACCTCAACCACACGCGTCCGTAAACTCGCTAATGCTCGGCTGAGCAAGCGCACCATGGAGAGGCGTTCTTGGCCTAAGTTCGGTGATTCCGTTCAAGAGGACGTCGGCACCAGACTCACCATGGTTTCTACCGAGGAAATCATCTTTGAGCGACCAAGGGCTCTTGGTACGTTATCCCTAGATCTGAAATTTCATATAATTGTAACAATCGATCCTTTATAATTATTTATGTGAAATTGTTAAGACATATATAATTGAAGAAGTTTATTACTTTATTTACATCTAGCCCTAGTTCTCTACATCATGTTTATAACCTAGATCAACAGTTTCAGCTGCAATTCACTACGCACATATCAATCATCATGATAATAGTCGAAAGGAGGAGATGTATTGATGGTATGCAGGACATGTGGGAAGAAAGGAGACCCTTGGACCTCAAATAGACCTTACAAGGACTTGGATCAGCCTACCGAGTCCTTCTCTGAGAACCCAAACCCTTCAGACTCATCAGCCACGGGTGAATTTGGACTCTAGTTCCCATCATAATTGCACTAATTTTCTTACACTTAGAGACCCAATGATTTAGGGCACTAATTCTTGATTGAAGTGACCGATTAAGATGAACACATTCAGTTCTTTAATTTTCTTTTATTTGACAAGTGGGTTCTAATTCTTGATTGAAGGTTTAGTATGTTTTTACTTCTGATTTGTGTGTTTATTTTTTTCTAATTTTTGTCTTTGCTTCGATTTCAGAGAAACCTTTATTAATTTCATCTTTATAGTTAAGCATAACAATCTTGATACTTGATTTTGGCATTTTTCTGCAGTTTTATTTATCAAATGGGGCTTGCAAATATTGGAAATCTTGTTGTGTAAACTTTCTTATACATGTATCTGTATGTATCTGTCTCTGCTTGCAATGAATATGATTTCTCATGGTCTAAATTACTACGACTTTTATATTCAGATAGAACTGAATGGTGAACAAGCAACAAAATGGGGTCCTTCTTGCTAATAAAATACCACTATTCAAGGAAGTTGGCTTGGCCAAAGGGAACCACCCTTCTAGAGCAATACACAATGGATGCATAAGCTTAAGTACAAATATCAAATAAATCAAACACAGATTGGATGCATAAGTACAAAGGCTCAAGTAAGCTTATGCTCCTACCTGAGAACACTGATCAGGTTTGTATTATCTTTCCTTTTTCCAAAGTTGTTTCTTATGCTGATTTAAATCACATATAGTTAGTTATCACTGTGGGTGTGTTTTCATGCAGTTACCTCAAATTCTTAAGTATTGCAATTCCAGATGTTTGGCAGTTGTTCCTCAAGGTGGAAACACAGGTCTTGTTGGAGAAAGTGTTCCTGTATTTGATGAGGTAACACTAACACTACACTACTATCCATTCATCTTAAATTTATTGTTTGCTTGTGTTCTTGTTTTTGATTTACTGTATCAATTTCAATTTCAGGTGATTATAAATACTCAACGCATGAATAATATTATTTCCTTTGACGAGGTAGGGAGGTCAGTCTTCTTATATTACTAATCCAAAGGACTTTTTGGTCATTTTATTATTAAGAAACACACAAGAATTTTTGGTTGCTAATATCAATATATATATATATATATATATATATATATATATATATATATATAATTTTGCAGGTGAGTGGTGTACTGGTATGTGAAGCAGGATGCATACTGGAAAATCTGATTTCTTTCCTAGACAAACAAGGGTAATATTAAATAATTATTAAAAAGTTATAATATTTGTGTAAACAAATTTAATTTAATTTTTGTTTCAGATTTATTATGCCATTAGATTTAGGTGCAAAAGGAAGCTTCCAGATTGGTGGAAATGTTTCAACTAATACTGGTGGCTTACGCCTTGTACGTTATGGATCTCTTCATGGAACTGTTCTTGGTAAGCCTTTTTCTCTCATTTTATTTTAAGTTTTTGGAATTAAACATTTAAATAATTAAAAAAATTAATTTCAGGTCTTGAAGTTGTTTTGGCAAATGGTAATGTGTTTGAAATGCTTGGGAGTTTGCGAAATCTTGTGATGCATAGTCGATCGAATAAAAGAGCGGTTGCGGAAGCTGGAGGGGTTCAGGTTGTGCTTGATTTGATTGGTTCGGGTGATACGGATACATCGATTCAGGTTGCAATGTTTATTAAGCTTCTTTTTTTCAAAAATACCATCCAAGAATACGCATCTAGTGAGACTGTTAGAGCTATAACCGGTAAATCTTAATAAGTAAAAATTGAAAATACAATGCTATATTGCCTTTAATCTATCTCCTTCTGCTGATCTTTCATCTCTTATTGCAGCTGCTTTCGAAAAAGATTTATGGGCTACAGGAACAGTTCATGAGGAATATTTAAAAGCCCTATATGCACTTTTCGTAAACTTCCCACGTTTAAGAGCCTCTGAACCCGCAACATTAAGCATCCCACATTTGGTGACGTCACTCAAAACCAGATCAGAAGCAACACAAGAATCTGCATTGAACGCGCTATTTCTTCTGAGGCTAGTGTGGTCTGCAGATCCCAATCAAACTTAAGGATCATTTTTACACCCTATGAAACAACTGAAGTAACGCTTCCTTCTTTCCTACTTGCAACTAGTTTTCCAAAAAAATCTATAAAAGTATATTCAGATAGTGCTCCTTTTACATTAGACCCTTTAGCAAGATTCTGATTTGTATCATGAATCAGAATCCTGTTTTAATGAGAGCGTATCAAAGTGTAAGATTCAATTCCCAAATTATGTACTTATAGCAAGTGTAAACATATATCCTCCCTCATATGTATATTATATAGTAATCGGTCATAAGTATCTATTAGTATTAACTAAAAATTTCTTCAGCTAAATAATAACAATTTAGATTATGTGATATTTTCTTGATATAAGGGAAGACCAAAGATAATTAAGAAACAAAAAGAAAGGAGAAGTGGTACTTGTACAAATAGTCAACTAACTTAAAAGCAATGGGAACCATGAGGCGGAGAAAACAGAATGGGAGTATTTTATTTGAGTAGCCTTCATATAAAAAATGAATTGTAATGAACCAGATGGAAAGGAGATTACATTCTTACGTGTTTTGTTAAATAATTGTCAAGAGGCATTTGAAGGTGCTGACAAACTAAGGTCAGAATTAAAACAGATGAATGCCCCTGAAAAAGGATATGAAAGTAGTGACAAAGAACGAATGATTAAAATTCACACACTTGGAAACATCAAACTTATTAGTGAGATTTTGAAGCGGAAAATGGTCCCTGGAAAGATCGTGCATCACATTGTTCAGGTTTCATTTTTCATCTACTTCCATTTCTTTCTTTTATAATTTTCTACTTTCTTTTGCTATTTTTCTTATTATAGTGGATTTGACATGACAGGAGCTTTTAGGAGCAGACAATAAATGTGGGCCAATAAAATTTGCAGCCTTCATCCTAGCTCTTATGATAGCAGGGCTTTATTTCTTTGATCATAGTGTTGCTTGACAGTTAGCTCAACAGAAAGAATTCAACTTCAAGAATCCTTCAGCCTATTACTTAATAAAAAAATTGTAAATATAGTTAAACAAACTTTTACATGTTGAAAAGGTAACACTTTCTTATTTAAGCTTGGGTGCATCAATGAGTATTTTCAGTTCACAAATTCTCTACGAAGAGAAGATCATAGATCAGGTATGTAATGCTTTTAATGGCTAAACTTATAATTCAATGAAATTTAATGTTGCTTACATTAATTTGTAATTGTAATGGAACAATAGACAGTAGATACAAGAATAAAACTTGCATATGGGCTTGCAAGGCAATGGTTTGGTGCTTCTGCAGTGATAAAGCAATGGTAACATTCTATACTTATGGCTTTCCATAATTAAAATAAAGCAATGTAAATGTAATACTGATTTACTTTTCCATTTTTTGTTATCAGAATTGTTATTAGATGGACTTGCAGGGTTAAGCACTAAACATGGGCATCTATGTTTTTATGGAAATTGTGTTGTCTGCAAAGCAGATGATAGTTATGCAACTGCTTTAAGGTCCTCTGATGCTTCCAAAGGTTTTTATGGAGCACAATGCGTTGGTTTTTATGGAAAAATATGTGCTTGGAAATTTGTAAGTTGATCTTATGAAATTATGAGGTTGTTGCTTTTTTACTTAATGGATTTGATGAGTTAAGCACTAAACATGGGCATCTATGTTTCTTTAAATATAGTTGGCCTAATGTATCATAACAATAACCATTTACCTTTTTTCCCATCTTCTTTTATCCTTCCAACTCCCTACATTAGAATTGATGAATATTGCAAAATTTGCTTTTCGGATGTAAGGGTAAAATGGTAACTTGGTTTGATTCAGATGGTTTATTCAGTCTAGAAATGGTATTCTTATTGCTAATTCATGTTTAATATTAATTTGAAATTGTAAACGGTGTTCTTATTTCTTTAAAGGTTGAGTCGAGGCTGAAGGAAACAACTTCCAGACTTGAACAACAATTGGCAGAATAATAGGTTGCAAGATTGAAGGTTGAAGGAAACAATTTCTAGACTTCAACAACAATTGTAAACAGTGTTCTTATTTCTTAATTCTATTTTTTCTTTTTAGTTATATAATAATGATATTGTTGACTCTGCCTTTGGTTATTTTGACCAGGTTGCCCTCATGCTTGAAGGGATGGGTTCATCTGCAGATGTAGATACTGTGAGCAAGGATGGGTTCATCAGCACAAATCTTGTTTACAGTGAGGCACAGATTAGGTTATCAGAACTATTAGTTTGTAAATTTCTGTTACAACTTCTATTGATTTATTTTATCTTTCCATGGAATGATTATTTGTATGAAATTAAATTTTAGGTAATGGATTGTATTTTTTGTATATGATATTTTATTTTATATTATGAGACACTAAATGCAAATTTAATTTGAAAATTAATAAATATATAAATATATTTTTTTTAAACATTTAAATTTACGATACACAAAAATGTGTGTCATCTTCATTTATGAAATGGCCTTTCTTGACAGGGTTTTAATGATACGCATTGCATGTCATTAACACGCGTGTCGTAAGGTTACGACACACGAATGAATGTCGTCTTCCTTTATGACAGGGCCTTCCTTGATACTCATTGCATGCCGTAAACGCGCGTCGTAAATGAGCGTTGTAAATGCGCGTCGTCAGACGACGCGCAAAAGCGCGTCATCTTTTTTTTATGACAGGGCCTTCCTTGACGCGCATTTGCGCGTCGTCTGAGCCTTTTACGACGCGCAATGAGCGTCGTAAAAGGCTGTTTTTCTAGTAGTGTATGAAGCTAAGAACATAAGAAAAACCACCTTCTCACAAGCACTTTAACGCCTCTAAAATAATACACAAAGAACTGATCACAAAACACTCATAAAAAATCTATTTGGTTCTATCCAGACATGCATCACGTCATGACCAAGGGGTGTCACGTCATGAGCTCATGCTTCTTCGCAATTCAAGACCGATCAGTTCCTTCTTCATGTCGTGACACTAAGGGTTTACATCGTGACTTTAAACGATTGTTAGGGTTTGACCAGCTAAGTCTACGTCATCACGACGTGACAAAATATTTGCTCATGTTGTGACTAAGAAAACTGTCGCGAGTTCAATCGATCAGGATCTGTTCTCACGATGTTACAAGGCATTGCTCACGTCGTGAAAACTGACAGTTACAAAATCTTGTTTATCGATTGATCCTATCCTTCTGCTCCATTTGGGTTCAATTAAATCCTCCATTGATATGATCTTAACCCTTAAAGACCCTGTTTGGGTCACCTTAATGATAGGTACATGAGTGGGACAATCAAACACACCAAAACCAAGAATTTTTGCATCATCCATGGTTTCTTCTCGTGTGTGATTCATGAAAAACAACAATGAACTCATGTAAGGAGTTCTTACCTTCTAGAAATTCCAGGAATGGCCTCAAGAAGGGTTACTAGGAGATAGTCTTTAAAGTTCCACCAAAAATCCTCTAAGAACACCCAACAATTCAATCTTCTTCCTCTCTTCAACACACCACCAAGGTTAGGAACCCTAAGATGTTCTTTATTCAAGAGGGAGGCTAAGAATATGATTTTTTAGTTGTAAATAAGTGTTGATTCCTGGATTAGGGTTAAGTGGTGACTTAAATACTTCCTAACTTTCTATTTAGCCCCTTAAAGGAAGCCTTATTCATGAAAAAAAATCAATTTAACAACCATTCTTAATGATGAACTAACCTCGGTAGCAAAATAGAAAATTTTGGGTCCTTATACAAGACCAGGTGGGTCCTTTGCTCTCATTCTCATAATACTGTTAAGTTGTTTCATTCTTTCAATTTCAAGCTCTTGAAGTCCCTTTTTCTCTTCTTTCTCGTGCCGAAGCTCTGCGTTTTAACCCCCGAAGCCATCCCGAAGCCCCGATCTTCACATCCAAGTCCCGAAGGAAGGTTTTACACTTTCGAGATTCCTGAGATTCCCGAAAATCCCGAGAAATTAACATTTTCAATTCGAAGTTTTGCTCAGTTTTCGTCTCAGCTACTTCAATCTATCAAGTGAGATCATACCCCTACAACTACGTTTTCAAATTCTTTGTAAATACTTTCATACACTTTTAGGGGGGGGGGGGGGAATATAAGTAAACACATGATTATCCTTGTGTGAAAACATCAATCTTTTGCTATACTTTTTGTTATTTAATCAATCATATGTGATTTATAAATGTGTTTCGAACAAAGGATTTCTTTTACTTTACACTGTCTTATCAAACAAACTACTTTTAAATCGTTTTATACATTGAAATCAAGTCATCAATATCTATTATTAAACTCTTCAAAGGGTTTTACAAAACTTCTTTTTTTTAACTTATATATGTATAGTTATGTAAGTAATGTTTAAAGGACTTAGAATTGCTAACCCACTTTATTTCCTCTTTCTTGTTTGAATGTGTACTTAGAGAAATCGGTTAGTTGTCCGAAGGTCGTCTAAACATTAGATATATATTATGTATACATATGTAGATATAAAAGTACCGGTCAATCATTCAAATACTACAAAGAAGAATACTATAACAGAAATTACTAGTAAGCTATTATAGGTATAGTTTAGGAGAATACTATCATATACAAATATTAGACAGAGAATACTATAACAGAGAATACTACAACAGAGAAGACTATCATATACAAGTACACATAGAGAATACTATCATATAAAAGAACATACTAAGATACTATAACAGAAAGAACATACTAAGATGCTATAGCATGGAGCAACTAGAGGATCTAACTATACCAATGATCATTAACGCATTGTTCTAAACAAAAGGTCATAATAAATTGGGTATACATGATCATTTAACTATAATGTGGATACTACGGCCTAGCAATTTGTTGCGGAAGTCACTCTTGTTTCCCAGAATCTCTTGTAGGGAGAACGTTTAGTATGGAAACTACTTATCACATTATAACCTTAATAAAACAAATATTAGACAGGGAATACTATAACAGAGAATACTACAATAGAGAATAGTATCATATACAAGTACATACTAAGATACTATAACACAAAGAACATACTAAGATACTATAATAGAAAGAACATACTAAGATGCTATAGCATGGAACAACTACAGGATCTAACTATACCAATGATCACTAACACATTGTTCTAAACAAAAGGTGATAATAAATTGGGTATACATGATCATATAACTTTAATGTGGATACTATGGCCTAGAAATTCATTGCGGAAGTCACTCTTGTTTCCCATAATCTCTTGTAGGGAGAACGTTTAGTATAGGAACTACTTATCACATTATGACCTTAATAAAACAAATATGTTTTCAAGTAATTAGTACTACAGGTTGTCAATTCTTAAGACCCATGAATACTTACTTTTCCCATTACTTTCAAATAGTGACATTCTACTTGAAAGTCAATGCAAGCTATTTTCGAGTTAAGATAGTTATAAAATGGGGGAAAACATCAACTTTTATAGAGAAACAAACATTTAAAATAGTTGGGTCTTGGCAGAAGACTACTTTTTATACTAGTAGGAAATATAGGATTTTCTAGAGGTTTTTAAACATATACAAACGTTTACATTGAATATTTACAAACATTTTCATTCAAACTTTACAAACATTTACATTCAAACTTATACAAACATTGACATTAAATACTTATGAACTCACCAACTTAAATGCTGATCTACGCTTTCAAAATAACTTGTATTTTCAGGTCGTCAGTAGACAAGTACCGATGTCAGCTTTTGAGAAGAAGAAGCATCTTCAAGACTCGTCTTTTATTTTGATTATTCATTTTTGGTGTCTTATTACTATTAAAGAACACACTTGTATGTAATTATCCTATTATTTCAATGGATGATGTTGTTGCTTGTTTACTATTTTGCATTGTTATGATACTGTACATGACGTCCTCCGCCCCCGAACGTTTCTACCGTTCTGGTTTTGGTGTGTGACATCCTACATCTCTGCTAAGGTCTTGTATCTATTGTTCGATGCAAAGTCCCTAATATCAGTCTTGAGCATACTCAAACATAAAGACATTTGTACCTGCTTTGATGAGGTATACTCTGGACAAAAGAAGGACCTTTCGGTGAATATCTTGGTGATCTTAGTCACTGATTTGGTGGTCTGTTTGAGTGACAAATATTCTTGGGCGAGCTGCTCCCTCTCTACTAGTGGAACATAGTCTTCCTTGAACTTCTCAAAAAACTATTCCCAAGTCACCATGCTCTTCTCAGTAGGTGAATAGTTCTTAGTTAAAAAGTTTCACCAGTCTTTTGCTCCCAGACATAGAAGATTTTGTGCATATACAAACTTCAGGTTCATTGGAAAAGCATACGTTTAAAAGCATCCTTCCACATTTGAGGTCCATCTCATGGAAACAGTTATATCCCTGATACCATTAAACTCTAGGGTTTTGGTGTTATTGAACTCTCGATAGGGCATTTCCTTATCTCTAGCCAGTGTTACAGTAGAAACTACAACAGTCGTTGCGGTGGCAGCGGTAATGGCGATGACAGCATAACGTTCATCAAACATGTTTATCAATTCAATCTTAATGGTTCCGAACATTTCTATAATCATATCTCTTACAGCTGTTGATACCACCGCCTCTATCCAATCGCATGTATTATTCTTGTTCGAACCTAAGTCATCCGATCCATAACCAAAACCGCTCGCTCTAGTTATCATCATCATGTTGAAAATGGGAATGGGTTAATTCTATTTATAGAAATAACTCTGGATGATATTTATATCCTTTCCAGTTCCTTAGTAACTTTGTGGATGTTCATGATTCATGTATGGATCTTGTGTATCCGGTAGTATGGGCCCATACTACCTTCCACACCTATCTATACTAGATCCAAGAATTCCCCAAAGGTTTCCTTCCACTTCACCCTACTATTTGGCACTAAAAACTTCTACAAGAATTAACTATTTTCTAACAAATATGATTACACACCTCTAAAATCAAACACTTTGTTGATTGAAATATCTGACACTTTAATGGTTAGACACAAACGAGAGCTTTGCAATATCGCTAAATCAAGCAATCTAAAACTATTTAATTCTGAGAGCATGCAACCTAATGTACTTTTTGTAACAAATCAATTTTTCAAAGAAATTTTTTCATTTTTAAGTAATAGACATAATTGTATAAACCATGAAATTCCACCATAATTGTTTTCAAATCCATATTCATTACATCATGTTTATATTATCAGAGCGTCCCAAACATAATAATGAAAGAGATATAGAGTGCACGTAGCACCATTACGCCTTGCCCTTACCCTTGGGCTCGGATGTACCTGAAACAAATCCATAAACAGTAAGTTTGGAAGATTAGTGAGTTCCCCAGAGCACACCCACACACAAACGCATATAACATGTCATACTAGCTAATCAGCTAATCAGAACATATAAACCATGCATACTAGTCACATAAGGAAGACCTAGAAACCCACCAGGGTCTTACTCTGGGTGCCATGGGAACCTCTACATGGTCTTAGCCCAATGCCTCGGGAACCCCTCGAGGTATTTGACCTAGGATGCCAAGGAAACCCTCCAAAGTCTTACACCTAAGTGCCTCGGGAACCCCCCGAGGTCTTCGACCTAGGATGCTAAGGAAACCCTCCAAGGTCTTACACCTAAGTGCCTCGGGAACCCCCCCCCCCCCGAGGTCTTTCATGCAAGTACAACACAAAACATACAAATTCACAGAATGGCTAACACATATATTGTAAGTACATAATGGGCCGGCCTTGGTGCCTTAGACCCATTCGTATGGTGAGGAGACTTACCTCCGTCTGCCGAATGCCAAAGCTGATCTCCTAATCGTCCGAAATCTCCTGGGCTAAATGGTAATATCAATTAATGTTAGGACCTTGGATTAATAAAAGGGAAACCCCAACCCTAACCATGAGGCCCAATTATTCCATCCTTGCTAATGGGCCCAAAATCTAAGTCCAAAAATTACTA